CAGCACCAAGCATCTCGCCACGACTCTAGAGACCCACAAACTTCCAAAAATTGGCGAGGTGTGAAAGGCAAGGCAAAGGGAAGGAGTGGGAATCAGACACCCCTTCCACTTTACCCTGTTCCGACATCCCTCATACCCCGAGGCACCGTCTTCATTAATAAGATGGATTCCGTCTTCACTGATTCAGAAGAGAGTGAGCCGGGCCGAGCCCCTAATTGGGCCATATTGGTGACTGCTGTAGCTGCCATCATCATATCTATATTTGGGTTCTTCGGTGAGTTGATTACACTTTTCCCTCCTGTTTCCCATATTGCTTCTGGGTGGTTTGGTTTGGTAATACCTTCGGTAATACTCTTTGTTCCTCACCGTAGTTCCTTCTTATCTCTGTTATGAGTTTCATAACACAATTTCTTCCTTACCCAAGGACTGTGACTTTGTTAATTATTCCTCATTGGTTCTGAGTATGGTAGACAATGGCAAAAGCCGGCAAGTGGGTATATGACGCTGGTAACAGGAATAAGCAAGTACACCACCTTATAAGGCAAACGAGCACAATGAGGTCAGGTTCGAAAAAAAGATAGGTCACATAGGGAGTTCATACAATTGCGAGATCAAGTATAGGTGAGGTCAGATATTATAGGGAGAGTAGGAGGTGGGATTAAGGTGAATACTCTGAATTTGCAATGATGATTATCTTTTAGAAGGACAAGACAATGAGAAGGTATTCGCCAACCTAAGGTTTCCAACACACATTATTAATTCCTGCAGACAGAAAGCCTTTTACACAACACATCCTAAGAGGTTACCAACATAGATAAACGACTGATCCGTCCCACTGAGCACATTATTATTATCATCGCCCTGATTCTCCGAAAAACCTAAATAGACGTAGTTGTTCTTACTACCTAAATATCAAAGCGATCACTAGAAACCGTAAACCTAGAACTACTTGCACAGCAGAAGTTTACAACATAGCGTGTGGTGAATGCCATAAATTCTGTGTCTGGAAACGTTTCGCCAGGCGGTGGCTTCATCAGCCTGATACAGAAAAAAACGGTGGAAGATGAGGAGTTTGAGGGAATCAGTCCCTCAACCTGGAGATAATGTGTTCTGTCTATCAGTCTTGATAAAAGTACATCTAGCATGGTTTTCAAGTAAAATTTCAATATACTATACTCAGCAATGGAGTACAACATATACACCAAGAGATATATCTTTTAGTTTATATAGTATATACACTGCGGGTGCACAAACATACCAGCCACTCAGGTGGCAAAAATTTAAATGAATTACCTCGAGGATAAGGATGATTAACTTACTCGAGGGGGTTTAATGCACACCCAGACGTGTCAACCAACACGGTGTCACAATTGTAGCTCCGAGGCATACCCACAAATGGCAGTCGTTATTATGATCGTCAACGAAAATCAATTGACATGGATCTTTTATCAAGAAATGACCCCGTTCAGTGGTGCCGTTGACTCAGTATGGCGGCAGAATTACTGCTGGCTTACTGGTCGGGTTTACTAGCCTGAGTATGTTATTATTTAAGATAGTGAGAGTTTAACTTAATCTCGGTTTTACGAGGGATTAATGTATTTTGACTGGCATTGTGTAGGTGAAATACAATTTCGATGATCCTCATACAACTGTTGGGCTTTAAACCTAAGAAGCCAACCAATCATATTTTGGCCAGTAAATAACAAACATAACGTCTGCCATCTATGTGTAAGTTTCAGAGCCGTAATTGTAACACCGTGTTGACTGACACCTTTGGGTGTGCTGGACAGATTCTTGAAGTCGGTGCCGGATCAACCAGGTTGGTTCGTACGTTGGACTAAGTGTGGCCAGCAGTTACAGCCTGGTTGACCAGGCCGTGATCCACCGGGAGGCCTGGTCGTGAACCGGGACGCGGGGGCGTTGATTCCCGGAATACCCTCAAGGTAGACAGGTCGGTAATTCATTCAAATTTTAGCCACTTGAGTGGATAGTGTGTGTTGTGTACCCGCAGCTCATCCTCTGAGCAGTAGCGCAAACAAGAATTAATACAGAGATCACGGTTTCTGTTTTTACTCTCAAGCATTTTATCTGAGTTTGATTTAGCCGCAAGTTTCAATGAATCTTCGTTTTTTTTCTCTGTTCTTTATTCAGAAACACCCGCTTGTACTTGTCGCATTCACGAAATTTCTTCTTCCTTAGCACTGTCTCGCAACAGGCTTTTATGACGCCCTATTAGGTATAGATATATTTTTGGATGTTAGTCAGTTTATCAGCTCCCTTCAAGGGAATGCCTTGAACAATAACTAAACCAACCAGGCTCACTGAGACAAGTGCAACCATAATAGACCACATATGGACCAATATACTAGCCCCCCTTAAATCAGGGATAATCACAGATAGCACTACAGACCACTACCCTACCTTCCTCCTGACAAACATTAATAAACCACCACTTGAATACAACAAAGTCTCATTTAGACTCCATGACGAGGCCTCAATAAGGAAGTTCACAGCTGACCTAGAGATTGTTGACTGGCCTACAGAATTCTCCAAGGCCAATGGTATTGATGACTGGACAGACATTTTCTTAACAAATTACTTAGACTATACAACAAACATTGTCCTATAAAAACGAAACAGATCACAAACAAACGGCTTGGTTGCCCATGGCTAACCAGCACCATTCTGAAATCCATTGACAAGAAACACCAATATGAAAAGCAATATAGACAGGGCTTAATACACAAAGATATTCTTAAACACTATTCATCAGTTCTCACCAAAGTAATAAAGAAAGCCAAACAACTATACTACTCCAGTAGATTCACAGACATTAGAGGAGATATAAAAAAGACCTGGAAAACACTCTCTCAGATTCTAGGGACCCACAAACTGAAAAAAACCAGAATATTGTCCTAACTAAACCTAATGAAACACCACTACATACCACTGACACAGCTAACAAGATAAACGACTTCTTCTCAACCATAGGATCTAATCTCGCCAATAAAAATCCCACATACTAATGCCCATGCGGGGACTACCTAGATGGGAATTTCCCAAATTCCTTCTATCTTGCACCAACTGAGCCCTCAGAAGTCACCGAGATTATAAAGTCACTTAAAAACAACTCAGGGAATCTGTCTAATGTCCCACCATTACTGTACAAGCGATCGGCCCATATCCTTTCGCATGCTATTTCATTACTTTTTAACAAGTCACTAGAAACTAGCACCTTCCCGAAACTACTCAAGATGGCAAGGGTTACACCAATATATAAAGGTGGTGACCCTACAGACTTAAACAACTATAGGCCAATATCAAACTTACCATTGCTATCCAAAATCTTTGAGAAACTCGTGCACAGGAGACTATATTCATTTATAACAGCACAAAACATACTCAACCCCTGCCAATTTGGATTTAGGAAAAATAAAAGCACTAATGATGCAATCATAAAAATGCTAGATCTGCTTTACACAGCATTGGAAAATAAGGAATATCCACTAGGAATTTTTATTGACCTAAGAAAAGCTTTGACACAGTAGACCAAGACATCCTACTCCAAAAACTTGACCATTATGGTATAAGAGGCCATGCGCTTGCTTATTTCAAATCTTACCTTACTAATAGGTATCAGTATGTTACCATTAAAGACACAGCATCAACAACACGGCCACTTGATACTGGAGTTCCGCAGGGAAGTGTCCTTGGTCCCCTGCTCTTCCTCATATACATCAATGATCTTCCAAACGTATCCCAACACCTGAAACCCATTCTCTTTGCTGACGACACGACTTACGTCATCTCTCACCCTAATCTTGCCACCCTCAACACCATTGTTAACGAGGAGCTGATCAAAATATCGACTTGGATGACAGCCAATAAACTTACGCTTAACACTGACAAAACCTACTAGATTATGTTTGGTACAGAGCAGGAGATGCACAAATTAACATTAAGATCGACAACACTCTAATTACCAGACATAATGAGGGCAAATTCCTAGGCCTATACCTTGACAACAACCTGAATTTCAGCACCCATATCCAACACATAACCAAAAAGTATCCAAAACAGTTGGGATCCTCTCCAAGATACGATACTATTGTGCCGCAAAATGCCCTTCTCACACTATACCACTCACTTATTTATCCATACCTCACCTATGCTATTTGTGCTTGGGGATCAACTGCAGCAACACACCTAAAGCCAATAATAACCCAACAAAAAGCTGCAGTAAGAATAATCACTAAATTCCATCCCTGGCAACACCCCCCCCCCACTCTTCATAGATCTAAACTTACTCCCTGTTCAGTACATCCACACTTACTACTGTGCAATCTACATCTACAGGACCTTAAACTCCAATATCAACCCTGACCTAAAACACTTTCTTGATAGTTGTGACAGAACCCACAGGCATAACACCAGACACAAACATCTCTACGACATTCCCCATGTCCGACTAAACCTTTACAAAAATTCAATGTATGTCAAAGGCCCTAAAATCTGGAACACCTACCTAAGAACTCTAGAACTGCAGACACATTCATCACCTTCAAAACTACCATTAGAAAACATCTTATCTCCCTGATAAACCCCATCAACTAACTACACGAATACCACCTGGTGGTTCACACTTTCACTCACCCATTTGACCATAAACAGAAATATTAATCTCAATCTTAAAATAATGAATCCTATGATACTCCAATACTGAAACTATGTACTGTGCCAAAACAAAAGCATTCACATTGCTAAACTCACAAACTAGTATTTAGTCACTTAGCCATAATACCAACTTACCTCATAATTTGTAATATTTTAAAATAAAGAATTAAACTAAGTCTGCCCGAAATGCCTAGCCATGCTAGGCGTTCTAGTGGTACACTCTGTAATCATTATTTAACTACATGTAAACCACACAACAACCAAATTCTGTAAATTCAACATTGTAATCTTTATAGAGAATAAACTTTGAATTTGAATTTGAATTTGAATGCTAGTGAAGGGCTTTTGATCCAAGAAATTATAGCTATGCTTTTCCTTGATCAAACCTAATTACCTCCCATTCCCTATGGTTTTAACGCTTCCCCATTAATATAATATAAATTTTAGTATCATCTAGTTACTCTGCAGGTAATTTGCTGACCATCCTGGCCTTGCCCTACGAAAGCCGCCTGCGGCACGCCGCTACCTACCTGGTGGTGAACCTGGCGGTGGCTGAGGGCATTTTCTGCGTCACCATCCTGCCCATCTCCGCCGCCCACCTCTTCCACCTCTACGTCAACGACGGAGACGCCCTCTTTAGTGACAATGGCTGCAACGTCTTCGTCTTCTTGCGATACGTCAATATCCAGGCCGAGCTCCTCTCTATAGCTGCAATAGCTGTCAACAGGTAAGACAGGAGACTTCAATGGTTGTTAGGTCATCTGTGTGGGATAGTTTAGTGTGTTGCTGTGTGCTGTGAAGGATGGTGTGTTGCTGTGAAGAGGGAATTTATGCTTTGCTATCTGATTTGAAGATTAGTTTAAAACGTTCTTCTATGATGTAAGAGGGGTAGTTTAGAGAGTTGGTATGAGGGATTGTATAGCGCACTGCTGTATGGTACGAGGCGTAGTTTAGTGCATTACTGTATGGTGCGAAGTGCAGTTTTAGTGCGTTCCTGTATGGTGAGAGGCGTAGTTTAGTGCGTTGCTGTATAGTGAGGCGTAGTTTATTGAGTTGTTGCATAGTGTGAGGCGTAGTTTAGTGAGTTGCTGTACTATGCAAGTAATTCAGTTGTATGATCAAATAAAATAAGTAAAATAATGGCGGAGAGGTCGGCATCAAAATCGTTGAATCTTGTATGCATCACAGCGCACTTTGAACCTTATGACCTTGTCCTGTGTTCAAACTTGATTAAATTTATCAGGTTTCCAGGACCCTAATTAAACCATGTTTCAGGTTTTGCTGGACACACTGTAAACCTTTCTAAAGTTTGAGCATTGATTTTTATGTAACGTGATCGCACAAATGAACATCAGCTAATTTTCACCAAATAAAAAAAAATAATCATACTCAATACATAGTAATATAATACCAAAGAAGATATTTTTTGAAAATTTGGTAAAAAAATATAAGGGAGAGTAATGAAATAATTATTAAACTTAAACGTATCGATTTAACAATAAGCAGGGAAACTTAAGGTCCGTCTCCCACTTTTTTCCTGTCAATGTTGACACGACATTAACTGTTGTTTTAAGTTTGTTATCGCCCTTCATATTTGTGGGCTGAACCTAAAACATAGACTAATACCAGTTCTACATATTTTCCCCCTTTCGAGGGAGGTTGACGTAGTGCCTTGATCCAAGGTATTCAATCCACGCTCTCTTTTGCCTCAAATCTCATTATTGCGTGGCCTTATGAGTTTAGCTCTTCCTCGTGTATATAATAATTCATCTTCATTTTTTGAACACTTGCCTTGTTTTACAATTGTGCTAACCAGAACTCTTAATTTTTCCCATTCAGTTTGACTAAGAGCTACGTTATTTTGTTTAAAAGTCCCATAGTGAATTTCTTTACCTAGGAGTTAGAACCTAATATTTGCGAGTTTGACTTTAAAAGGACATATTCACCAGTCTGGCAGATTTTCAGCTGACAATAAAGATCCAAGTTCAATAATAAGGTCAGTAGTGACACACCTCTGCCTACCTGATAATTTTAAAGTATTTTGTTAGAGAAAGAGAGACAACTTGTTGTTCAAGTCTTGATCTTGCATCAATTCTTATTCATTAACAATTGTCATCAGCTGAGCGTTGACTTATATACGAAAAATACATTTACTTTTATTTTAGGATAGGTTACATAAGCCTTTATATATGTAAATTCAATCACAAATAAGCAGAGTACAAAAAAAAAAAAAAATAAACAGGCGATACGTTTGGCAGCGGGGTGTCTCCGCGGACATACAGCACCACAAAAATTTGAAGGTTTTGCTTGTGTTTATGTTAAGCTGCGTTGCACCTTTTCTTGTTTTTTGTTATACTACTCAATTGAATTTAATCGACATTTATCTCTTTGTACTGTAAATATAATTCATAAACAGGGTTAATTACTTCAAGGCTTTGTACAAATATGTACGATGATTTGTGATCCCACTGGGATCTTCATTGACTTAC